CGGGGCGGCGCGGGCTGCGAGCGCCGGCGGGAGCTGTAGCCAGGGCACGCACCCGACGAGTCGGAGGATGAGGCCGGCGACGCGGAGTCCGAGTGGCCGGCCCAGCCCCAGCCCTGGGGGGAGATCCAGGGGTCGTGGCTGAGGAAGATGGGCGGAGGGGAGGACTGGGCCATGGCCAGGTTGTGGGCTCTGGGAAGCTGGCGGACACCTCGAAGCCTGAGCTTTTATCCGCCCTGGAGGTGCGAGGTGGCCCCCCATCAGCTGACAGAGAGGTGTCAAAACCTACAGAGGCCAGGGAAGATCTGAGCAGGGGGCCCTGGGAAAGCGGGCCCATTTGCGGAGGTGTGGATCCTGACTCCTCCAGGGGCTCTAATGGGGGCCCCTGCAGCCAGTTCGCATCTGGATGGAGCTGCTAAGCGCTCACATGCTCACACCCACACCCCCGCCCAGGCCACTAAACTAGCGAGTGCCCAGAAGCCTGACCACGAGCAAGTGTGGCAGTGTCCCCATGGGGAATGGTCAGGTTACCCCGAAGTGGCTCCTCAGGGGGCTGCTCTCAGTAGCTCCCATCAAGTGCTGAGGGGTGTGCTGGCCTGGGCCCTGCCACAGTGACCTTAGAGCAGTGGTTCTCAACCTGGGGGTCGCCTAAGACCATCGGAAAACATATTTCCCATGGTCTTAGGAACCAAGACACCGCTCCTCTATTGGCCCACATGCAGATACGCCCACCGATGAGTACGTATCTGCAGGCGTGACGACTGTTCCCTATGCTGCAGCATGCTACAAGACAAAATTTCATTTGTCATTAGACATCAATATTTCACAATGTATAATGACATTGTTTTGTGATGAATCGCTATGCTTTAATGATGTTCAATTTGTAACAATGAAAATGCATCCTGTATATCAGATATTTACCTGATGATTCATAATGGTAGCAAAATGACAGTGATGAAGTAGCAACAAATATACTTTTATGGTTGGGGGTTGTCACCACATGAGGAACTGTCTGAAAGGGTCGCAGCACTGGAAGGTTAAGAACCACTGCCTTAGCGAAACCTCACAGGCAGACCCTCGTGCTTCCCCTAACCTTCATCTGCTGACTTGCTGAGTGACCAGACAATGTCATTTCATTGTTCACAACCTCTGAAAACGGGAGCAGAGTTGAACTTGCCAGCAGCCTGGGGAGAGCAATGTAATATCAGGGAATTGGGCTTTGTAACCAAGCAGGCCTACATCACACCACCTTGAGCACATCACTTGAGAGTCTGAAGTTGAACGAATCATGTAAAATCGTATGGGCTTGACAAGGGGGTTAATATTACAGGATACTTATGGGCGTTAGTAATTTTGATAGGGTTAAAAGAGTTAGCCTTCTGGCAATCAAAATGCTAGCAATATATATTTTACATGTACATAATAAAGATAGAACAATATAAGATGTAGTTTGTTAAAAATCCAAAATGTAACAGCACCCACCCTTGCAGTAAAATTCCTTTACAGTGGGATGTCCTACTCAGGAAGGAGTAAACAAGGGAACATGAAGCTAATGGGCCCTGAGAAATGTAAGGATAGATAATTTCCTAATGATTGCTACAAAACTGACATTTCTTAGAGTAGCAGTTGTATCTTGTGACATTGTAAAAATACCTGTTCATATCTTCCTATCATCTTTATAAACAAAACCTCTTTCTTCTCTATTAATTTGTGGAGGCAGGACTGAAACTGCTCAGAGGAGAAACTGGTTTACATTCTACAAGCACTTGCAGTAATAAACTTGGAATTTCTCAAATCAACCTGCTCTGTTTTTTGCTAATATAGTGATAGGCTGCCTGGCCTCCTAGCAGCAGGCCAGTTTTATTTAAGTTTATTTGTTATTGTTAGCCCCTGCCTCACGGTGACATGATGCACAATGGAGCAAGCACTGCCCAGCCCTATGCCATCCCCAGGATAGGGTACAGGTGGTATGTAGGATTTTAACTGGCTGATTTTCAGAGCAGATTGTCAGCCAGGCCTTCCTTTCTAATCTGTGTTAGTCTGTAAGCTCTCCTAAAACTTGTTTGGCAGCAGCAACGCTCAAGCTCCCCATGATTTATAATTCCTGGGAATGGGACCCAGCTTTCTCACAAATGGTAAGAATTACACCACTGAACCACCAATGACCTCATGTATTAAACACAAGCCTTCAAACTGATTCACCCACTATGGTAGTTATATAATTGCTTGTCAATTTGAGAGGACTAAGAGTGAGGGTGTAGAGTCTAGCCTATCAATCAGGTGATAGCCTCTGTGTGGGCATGGCCTTCCAAGGATTCTGGGAACTCCGGTATTCCTCCTTGGAGGTGAAAGACACATTCTCTCTCTGCTCACTCCCTACAAGATATCCCTGTGGAGAAGACACATGGAGAAGGGCTGATGGAGCCAGACCTCTGGAGCCGAGAAGCCACATGGAGCCCTGCCAGCTCTGAGATGCTTACAATGCCACTGGATCCATAAGACTTCCCACCCACTGACCTGTGATCTCCGTGCATTCAGCGTCATTGCATGTGTTTCATGAGTCTGAAGAGGACTTTATAGACCGGTATCAGACATATGGATTAATATCAGACTTATGGACTTAATCTTGACTGGGCTAGAATGTTTTCTCAATACTCAGCTGCTCTTGTATATAAAGCTCTTTCTTATACCCATATGAGTGTCTATGGATTTGTTTCTCTGATTCTGATTCAATATATCTGGGGCAGAAATGTAAACTGTCAGTGGGGTGGGGGCAGGGGGACCCGGGTCGAACCTGATTGAATCAATGGGAGACCCTGATTTAGCCCTGGTGCCACAGCAGGTTACTCTTTGGACTGCTGACTGCAAGGTCAGCTGTTACAAACTACCAGCTGCTCGCCAGAGGACAGGTGAGGCTTTCTACTCCTGCAGAGTTACCATCTCAGGAACCCACAGGGGCAGTTTTCTACTCTGTCCTATAGCGTCACTATCAATCAAAATTAACTCAATGACAGTGTTTTGTTGTTTTTAATGTTAGACAGGGACCTCCATAACTGCTATGAGGTAAGCCTTGGGCTGCTAACTGCAATGTCAGCAGCTGGGACCCACCAGCTACTCCACGTGCAAAAGCTGAGAAAAAAGAACCTGGCTGCTCCCATAAAAATTTAGTCTCAGAGCAGCCAGTCCACAGAGAGGACCACATGACCAGCCCCACTATGAGACATGATGCCTTTCGCTGACCCATGGCCCTGCGGGGGACAACACCAGAGACACAGTGTGGGAATTGCACC